GACCAATATTGGAACCGATTTAATGATTAGGGAAACACCGAATAAAGTCGAGGCATAATACCCATGAGTGGATATGTTCAAAATCATGCAATTCTATAACAAATAAACCTTTTTGCCCTGCTTAAGCAACACCCAAATGGGTCTGTTTCCAAGAAAATGAAAAAAAAATAAAAAATCAAACCTTGTTGTTTACCCTGCTTCACCATTGTTTATAAATGGGTTTGTTTATACTATTTTTCTGCGGTTTGTTGATTCTTCGTGTTTCGTAATTTCTTCCTTCTTTGTTGTTTCTCTGTTGCGTTTCTTCTTCGTTTCTTCTTCGTTTCTTCTTGGTCTGAAAATGGGTATTACTGAACGGTGGTTTTTTCTGCGCCTTTTTAGCTTCTTTTTTGTTGTTTGATTTTTGAAATGTAACGGGCAAAGAGCGTGTAATACAAACGGCGCGTTGGAAGTTGAAAAGAAGTTATGTAAAATTAGTATAAAGTAAAGGGTATTTTAGTATTTGCACATTTTATTAGGGACTGATCTGCATGTTAGGCGTGTGAGTAGGGACTGAATTGCTAGGGGGAAAATACCTAGGGACTGATCTGTGTTTCAAGTTTTGGATTAGGGATTTATCTGTAGTTTCCCCATGTTTCATTTATTTAAACATTTTTTTTCCTTCAGTAGCAATTTGGTACGTTGTGTAAATATTAGCAAATCCAGGGGTATTAAAATAAGCCACACCAACTGGCAACTGTCATAAATCTTCACAATTTTGTAAATCTTCCCATTACTACTACTACGGCAACAATGGCACCATACCTCCTCTTCCTCCTCCACCTCCTCGTCTTCTCCGCCACCACCACCACCAATGCCGCCGCCGTGAGCATCTCCCCCACCTCATCGCCGCCCTCAGCACCCACCCCCTCCTCCTCTCCAATTTCCTCTTCTACCCTCGACCCAAAACAACTCAGAGCACTCCAGTCCCTCAACATACCCACCTCCAAAGACCCCTGCACTCCCCCACCCCACCCCTCCGCCGCCGCCGCATCGCCGCCACCCAAAACCACATGCGACTCCGCCGCCCCCTTCCGCCACCTCCTCTCACTCACACTCTCCGACTGCTCAGACGACGTCGCATTATCCCTCACCGCACTCGAATCCCTCTCCACACTCACCTCCCTCACATTCACCAACTGCCACGTCACCCCAATCCACTTCCCCACCGAGCTCACCTCAAACCTCCGCTCCTTCACCTGCATCAACAGCCTCAACAAACTCACCGGAGTCTGGCTCAGCCGCCTCCAGAACCTCACCGAGTTAACCGTCTCCCGAGTCAGCATAACCGCCAGCGGCCCTTCAATCATCCTCTCGAACATGAAATTCCTCCGCTCCGTCACTCTCTCCCAAACAAATCTCTCCGGCTACCTCCCCAAGCACACGTGGCACCCAAATCTCACCTCCATCGATTTCTCAGTAAATCATCTCAAAGGAAAAATACCCATTTCCATAACCCGCCTCGAGAATCTCGCCCACTTGAATCTCTCCTCCAATTCACTCAACGAAACAATCCCCACCACCATCGGAGACTTGACCTCTCTCCAGACTCTCTCTCTCTCATCGAACGCGCTGGTGGGCCCCATACCGGACTCCCTAGCCGCATTGCCGGAGCTAATCCACCTGGATCTGGGTTCGAATCAGCTCAACGGCACAATTCCCAAATTCCTCCGAGATATGAAGAATCTAAAATACCTGAATCTTGAAAACAACAATTTTCACGGGGTTCTGCCTTTCAATTCGACGTTCATAAAAGGGTTACAGGTTTTCAAGGTGGGCGAAAATTCAAATCTTTGTTACAACCACTCGAGTTTCGGGCCGAAAGTGAAGCTCGGAATTGCTCCCTGTGATAAACATGGGCTGCCGGTGTCGCCGCCGCCGGCGAAGGATACAGATCCCGACGGCTCCGGCGAGGGTTCCGACGACGACGACTATGAGAATGTGGAGGAGAAGAAGCATCACAGCGGGCCGAGTAAGGTTGTTCTTGGCGTTGCGATCGGGCTTTCTTCTGTTGTGTTTATCATTATCTTCTTGGTTCTTTTATCCAAGTGCTGTAGATAATTAAATTTTGAATTGTGAAAAAAAAAATGATTTCTTGGTTTAATTTAATATAATATAATATAATATTGATAATTCGTAATTTGCTATTGGGGCAATGATTCGGTGTGTGTGGTCCATCTGGAGATTTAAATCACAATTCTTTTGCAAGGAACCATCAATTAATGTCTTTATGGTTGGAAAGTTTGGCAGCTACTCTTACTAAATAAATTCCATTAATTATCTTGTTTTGTACAATTTTTTTTAATAATTAATTTCTGAAATTATAAATATATTCTCATAGGGTTGTTTTGAACATTTCAACGATTTTTAGTAAAATGCGTGTGCTATATAGTATACGATTTTTTGTGATTTTGTTTGATAGTTGAAATACTAGCGAAATACTTCTCAGATGAACTGTTTTTTTTTATGCATGAACATCTTCTATACTATATATTTCAGGCTTAAATTAAAGTATTTTTTTGAATATTTCAGCATTTTTTTAGCGAAAAATGAGTGCTATTACGAATTTTTTTTTTTTTGATTGTTCAAAATTAGTGAAACAATTTATATATGTCTCTTGTCTACTTATGAATAAAAACGAGTGCCATAGATTACGATTTTTTTTTTTTTCTTGTGATTTTATTTGATTGTTCAAAATTAGTGGAACAATTTATATATGAACTATCTCTTGTCTACTTATGAATAAAAATCTTCTATAAGTGTTACAAAAATTAAAAAATGAATTTGAATGTTTTAACTATTTTTAGCAAAAAAAGAAAGAAAGAAAGACGTGTGCTATAACAAAAATTAGTGAAACAATAATTAGATGAACCATTTCTACTTTTGTAGTCTATTTATAAATAACATCTTTTATACTATAGATTTGAGCATTAAAAATATATTTTGAACATTTCAATGATTTTAATCTAAAATCGTGTGCTATAGTATACAGTTTTTTGTGATTTTACTACCGTTAGAAAGTAAACGATTTTTTAGAGTAACTATTTATGAGTGGTAAGGCCTAAGACCAAAATTGGAATAACGATTATTTAATACACATACCAAACCGTTTCCAAATTCCACCATATAAATTGGAATAAAGAAACCTAAAAATGGGAGATGGTTCGTGTATGCACGCGCTCCTGAGGAGCGTGAGGAAAACGAGTTCTGGAAAGGATAAAATACATACGCACATCACACAGAAAGCCAAGCTTCTCATCTGTGTGGTTTAAGAATTTAGAGAATTGTTTATTCCAGAAAAAAAATGGGAGGTTCTCTTCTCTATCCCCATTCCCTTCTTCACTTGCCTTCTTCTTCTGCTCCGACCCGACCCAACTCCGCCACACCATTTTTCTCTTTCAAAGGTATCATCTTTTTGCTCGCTCTCTTTTTCTTAAATTTTCATATCTTCGTTCTGTAATTAAAGAATCTGGGTGGCAGATTCCGATACCTTATGTATGAATTTGATTCATTCACTGTTCATGAAAACCCTTCTTTTTTTTGGGGAAAATTTTCAAGTCATATGCCCTAAATTTGGTGTTCTTTATGCAATTTCATTGGTCTGTTTGTTTTATCTTGTTTTAGGGGGGTTAAATAGAAGAACTGTGAATTGCATTGTTATAACAATGAATAGTTTGATCTTGATGCAGCTTGTTCAATTTGGCAGTAATAGCAGATAGGCCTTTCCTCTCAAGCATTAAAGCTGTTGATGGAAACAGAGAATTTTCTAAAGCAGAAGGGCTAGATGGTAATAATCCTCAATCCTCGTCGTCTTTGTCGCCAAACAAACAAGAGATTCTTGCTCTGTTTAAGCGAATACAGTCTTCGATTTCAAAAGGGGAGAATGTAAATTCCAAGAAGAGAGTTTCAAAGTCTGCTGAAGATAGTAATAAGCCCTCCTCTGCTGAATCGATTTTGGAAGTTCTTCACCAATCGAGGACACAAGGAAAAGGTTCGTGTGAGTATGAGCTTTAATGAAGCAAAAGGGATTAGTTTTTGTTGCTTAATTGATGACGATTTGGTTGTCTTGGGTATTGGTCTGAAGTTGGTTTCTTTGTTTGCTGACAGGGAAAACAGTTGGAAGAAGAGGGGATAAATTTGCGGCTCGGCAAAAGGACTCGTTCAAGAAAGAGGAGATATCGGAACTTTTGTCAAATGTGGGCTTGGAAAAATCGAGGCCTCCATCAAGTTTTACGAAGAGGTCTCCTGTTCCAGTTGTATCAGGCTCAATAGACGGAGTTCAGCCCAAAAACGAGACATTGCCAGAAACGCCGTCCGTAATAATCCCTAGTGCCGAAATCGAGCTGACAAATGAAAGATTAGTGACAACAGAAGTGGACCAAGATGAGGAGCAATCGGAGAAGTTTGAAGACATGAAACTTTCTCAGTTGAAAGAAGTTGCGAAATCGAAAGGGATCAAGGGTTACTCCAAGCTTAAAAAGAGTGAGCTTGTAGAGCTTCTAATCAGGTCCGGTATCGATGCTTCTTCATGAAATTGAAGCGGGATTTTAGATTATTTTGAATTGTCGACGATTCTTGAATTTCCTTTTTTTCAATTCTCATATTCGTTGTCTGATTGTTTGTTTTCGACTTTTTTCAAGAATTAGCTACATCTACTCTTCTTAGCTAGTCTTCCTAGCAAAGTGACAGGCTACGGGGATGTTTGGTTTCATTTCCAAACCCACTTTCCAGTTTTATACTATTCATAAAACCGAGATCATGTTTGTTTCACAATTTTATCCAGAAATTCTCATTTTTTCTTATCAAATTTCTATTGAAAATACACTATTCATATTTTTTTCAATTTTAAAACCTACTAAAACCTACTACTAACCTATATATTTTATTCCAACAACTCATTTCTCTCTCCTCATTAATATTCACACTCTCTCTCCTCTCTCCTCATTAATATCTACACTATCTTTCCTCACAATTTCTCTATCTACTACTAAAAATAAAATAATAATAATAATAATAATAATAATAATAATAATAATAATAATAATAATAATAATAATAATAATATAATAATAATAAAATAAAATAAAATAATAATAATAATAATAATAATAATAATAATAATAATAATAATAATAATAATAATAATAATAATAATAATAATAATAATAATAATAATAATAATAATAATATAATAA